AAGAGACAGAATAACACCGAATGGGTTCCCAATGAATTCTGCCCTGCCCCCAGGAGAAGTGTGCTTTTATTAACTTTACAAGCTCACAGACAGTGGACAGTATATAGATAGGTTACAGAGTTCAGATAGGACAATGGTTACATCATGCCATGATAATTGGCCTAAGGAAAGGCTCTATGCAAGTTCTCTAGCATCTATGAGAAAAAGAAGAATGGTAGGCAGTCATGGCCCCCAGAAGCAGCTGTGACGTCATCCAGGAGCGTTTGCCCTCTACTGTAGATTAAGCCAACAGCTTAGCAACTTTGGGAATGGCACCCCCACAATTATTATTATTTTTCTTTAATTAAAATATTTCAAAAAATATTTTTTTAAAAAAACACAACCCAACCCAAGGAAGAAGGGATCCAAAATGCCTTATGAGAAATGAATTACAGATGCACTTAAAGGAAGAGAGGGGCTTCAGAATGGACTGTTCTCGAAGCTATAGCTACCATGTAAAATAGAGAAAAACTTTTCTGAAGATCTGAAAGAGTAAAAACTTTAGGAAAACACATTCAAGTATTTTTTGCAGGCAGAAACTGGAACGTGTAAAACTTCTGCTACTATGGAGCCCTAGATGATTTAACTCTTCTTTGTTACAAACTAAAACATGGTAATTCAATTCAGACGATTATCATATCTACTATTGTGGGCAAGAATCCTGTAGAAGAAATGGAGTAGTCAACAAAAGAGTGGGAAAAGCTGCACTGGGATACAATCTCAAAAATGATAAAATGATTTCAATACGAATCCAAGGCAGATATTTCAACATCTGAAGAGGCTGAAATTGACCAATTATATGAAGACTTACAACACCTTATAGAACTGACACCAAAGAAAGATGTTCTTCTCATTATAGGGGACTGGAATGCTAGAGTAGGGAGTTGAGAGATAAAAGGAACAACAAGTAAGTTTGGCCTTGGAGTTCCAAATGAAGCAGGGCAAAGGCTAATAAGAGTTTTCTCAAGAGAACAAGCTGGTCATCACAAACACTCTTTGTCAAAGGACAAAAATGGTAGGGACCTCACAGAACAGAAGACATCAATAAGAGGTGGCAAGAATACACAGAGGAATTATATCAGAAAGATCTGGATGTCCCAGACAACCCAGATAGTGTGGTTGCTGACCTTGAGCCAGACATCCTGGAGAGTGAAGTCAAGTGGGCCTTAGAAAGCATGGCTAACAACAAGGACAGTGGAGGTGATGGCATTCCAGTCGATCCCAATCCCAAAGAAGGGCAGCGCCAAAGAATGCTCCAACTACCGTACAATTGCACTCATTTCACGCGCTAGCAAGGTTATGCTCAAAATCCTACAAGGTAGGTTTCAGCAGTATGTGAACCAAGAACTCCCAGAAGTACAAGCTGGATTTCGAAGGGCAGAGGAACTAGAGACCAAATTGCTAACATGTGCTGGATTATGGAGAAAGCCAGAGAATTCCAGAAAAAAAAAACATCTACTTCTGCTTCATTGACTACGCAAAAGCCTTTGTATGTGTGGACCACAACAAACTATGGCAAGTTCTTAAAGAAATGGGAGTGCCTGGCCACCTTATCTATCTCCTGAGAAATCTATATGTAGGACAGGAAGCAACAGTTAGAACTGGATATGGAACAACTGATTGGTTCAAAATTGGGAAAGCAGTACAAGGCTGTATTACTTATATGCAGAATACATCATGCGAAAGGCTGGACTGGAGGAATCCCAAAGCGGAATTAAGATTGCTGGAAGAAATATCAACAACCTCAGATATGCAGATGATACCACTCTGATGGCAGAAAGTGAGGAGGAATTAAAGAACCTCTTAAAGAGGGTGAAAGAGGAGAGTACAAAAATGGTCTGAAGCTCAACATAAAAAAAAATTAAGATCATGGCCACTGGTCCCATCACCTCCTGGCAAATAGAAGGGGAAGATATGGAGGCAGTGACAGATTTTACTTTCTTGGGCTCCATGATCACTGCAGATGGTGATAGCAGCCACAAAATTAAAAGACACCTGCTTCTTGGGAGGAAAGTGATGACAAACCTTGACAGCATCTTAAAAAGCAGAGACATCACCTTGCTGACAAAGGTCCGCATAGTCAAAGCTATAGTTTTTCCAGTAGTGATGTATGGAAGAGTGAGCTGGACCATAAAGAAGGCTGACCGCCAAAGAATTGATGCTTTTGAATTGTGGTGCTGGAGGAGACTCTTGAAAGTCCCCTGGACTGCAAGGAGATCAAACCTATCCGTTCTGAAGGAAATCAACCCTGAGTGCTCCCTGGAAGGACAGATCCTGAAGCTGAGGCTCCAATACTTTGGCCATCTCATGAGTAGCGAAGACTCCCTGGTGTTGGGAAAGTGTGAAGGCAAAAGAAGAAGGGGACGACAGAGGACGAGATGGTTGGACAGTGCCATCTAAGCGACAAACATGAATTTGACCCAACTCCAGGAGGCAGTGGAAGACAGGAGGGCCTGGCGTGCTCTGGTCCACGGGGTCACGAAGAGTCGAACATGACTTAATAAAAACAACAAAAACATGGTAAAGAAGATATACAGCTTGACAACATTCATAACAAAGGAGAATTACTAAAATAGCCAGTGTCCTGGAGCACTGGTTAGAAAGGAGGCACAGGATTAGAGATTTTTTTAAAAAAGTGTGCTGCTTATATACCGCCCCATAGCGCTTCAAGCATTCTCTGGGCGGTTTACAAGTTAATTATGCAGGCTACACATTGGCCCCCCAGCGAGCTGGGTACTCATTTTACTGACCTCAGAAGGATACAAGGCTGAGTCAAACTTGAGCTGGCTACCTGGGATTGAACCCCAGGTCGTGAGCACAGTTTTGGCTGCAATACAGCGATTTAACCACTGCGCCACTTTTATAACTGTTTTAACTGAGGCTATAGAAAGTATGAACATTGTCAGCAAACGTCTGGAGTTATATTCAGGCATCACAAAATATAGTAGAAGATAGACCAGGGTCCACTGGACAATCTTTAATCGATCACCAAGCTCTCTCAGGTTTCTTACAGAGAACAGTGGATCTAAAGTCCTGTTTATGTCCAGATAAGTTTTCATAAAAGGTCTGAGGTACTGTATGCTTCCTGCCAACCTAGCAATTCAAAAGTATGCAAATGCAAGTACAGTGGGACTTCGACTTACAGACATCCGTACTTACGAAAATTTTGACTTACAAAAAGCTCTGGCCACAAAATTTTGCTTCGACTTGCGGCCAGAGGTTCCACTTACGAATGGAAAAGGGCAGGGGGAAAGGGTGGGAAGTTCCAACCGTTGGTTGTGAAGAAGCTGCTGGCAGTGGCGATCGCAGCGGTGGGTAAGCCTGGAAAGCCTCCAACAGTAGCGGGGAACCCCAGGCGGCTGCGGATAACCGTTGGTTGTGAAGAAGCTGCTGGCAGTGGTGATCGCAGCGGTGGGTATGCCTGGAAAGCCTCCAACGGTGGCGGGGAACCCCGGGCGGCTGAGGATGACTAAGGTGCTCCTTTTTCCTTTTTAAATGTTGCTCTGGGTGGGTTTTGGAGGGTATGTTTGGGGGGTTGTGTTTTTGTGTTGTTTTGTTTTTTGGTGGTTTTTTTAATTATTATTATTTTTTTGCAGTCCCAGTGTGGGACTTGCTCCAAGGTTTATATTTGGATTTTTAATTATTTATTTTTTTATTTCTTTAGCAGTCCTAGCGTGGGACTTGTTCGTTCTCTCTCTCTCTCCTCTCTCTCTCTTTCTTGATATTTTTTCCTTCAGCTGGAACAGATTAATTGGTTTTCAATGCATTCCTATGGGAAATGGTGCTTCGACTTATGAAAATTTCAAGTTACAGCCACCGTTCCAATACGGATTAATTTCGTACGTCGAGGCACCACTGTAGATAAGTAGGTACCACCACTGTGGGAAGGTAACAGTGTTCCATGTCTAGTCGCGCTGGACATGTGACCACGGAAACTTTCTACAGATAAAACGCTGGCTCTACGGCTTGGAAACGGGGATGAGCACCACACCCTAGAGTCGGACACAACTGGACTAAATGTCAAGGGGAATGTTTACCTTACTGTATGCTACCAATAGTACACGAATGTCAGGTATTCAAACCACCAGTGTTATGTTCTCATAATTGAGCTTTCTGGAGGAAATGGAAAATAGAAAAGTAGTGGATGGATGGATGGACAATTAGCAAGTGCTGTTTTTGTTGTTGTTGTTTAGTCATTGAGTCGTGTCCGACTTCGTGACTCCATCGATCAGAGCACGCCAGGCCCTCCTGCCTTCTCAAGCACTGTTACTTTTATTTAAAATGCATTTTCTTATTAAAGCCTGAGGATAAAGAACACACTTCTTCTTTGCAGTCAATCCTGTTTCCTAGCCCTCTACAGGTAGCGAGTGACACATACACTCCTACACTGTGTACAACCTGCCACTACTGCCATCCCTTTTGCCCAGGTAAATGTCAGGGCTTGGAACAATATTTTCTAGTGCTTCTGAAATCTGCTGGTCTTCCAGATGTAGCTCAGGTTATGGCAGGAAATCCAAGTGCACCCCTCTTCAAGAGGATGTCATTGCTTATGTGCTGGAAATGGAAATGGGTGGAAGGAAAATTAATGCTATTTGGAATCTTCCAATAGCCACAAAGCCAGCAGTGCCACCAACAAACTTACTACATCTCCCAAGCCTCTCTTGTGGTGCAATAGGCTGCTCTAGCACACAACCCAGAACCACTGCACAAAGTCCACCAACAGAATGGCTGCTATTCCTTTCAGAGAAGAGACAACAAAACACGTTTTCAAAACAATTCTGCTCTGTGAATGCAGAGCAAAGTGGCACTACCAAATTATTTTACAACCATTGGCTAATCTTTAAGATCCCCAAGTGGCAAGCAGAGCCTTTGTTGTCTAACTCAGTTACAATTGATCTGTATCAGCCCCAAAACTGAGAACAGATTTCAGAATATCAATGACAGCCTCATTAAGTGCCTACCTGAACCGTCACTGGAAACTGAACTTGCATTAATTCCAGAAAGTCCAAACAAAGGACATTCTCGGTCTGTGTTGACATGGCCCCACTTGTGACATTTAATACATCTCACATTCCGCACCTGAAAAATAACCAATATGGACATAAATTTACATTTTAATGGCCAAAATCCTGTTTCTTGGTGTAGTAAATCAGGCACTGAATACAAGGGAGATTTGGTGAGTCAACTCCTCTATAAGCCATTCATTCAAATGGGCCTACTCGAACTGCAACCAATTTTAGTATAGTAAGTCACAAAGTAGGCTTATTTGGATCAAAAGAACCTACAGAGGAGTTGACTCACCAAATCACCATTGATTCAATGAGTCTATTAACTGATTTATGATGCTTATCTACAAGATTTTGGTCAACATGCTTTACCCCCTCCTGTGTAATGAAATGACTACATATTAAACCTTAGTAAAATATTCTGTGCTAGAGGAAGGGGAAGCTGAACACTTACCTGGATACCAAATGGCTGATCTCTAATATTCATATCATCTTTAGCATATCTGTTAAATGGAAGAAAACAAGAAGATATATATAAAATCTGCACAACAGCCACACTGGTACTACGTCTTAGCAGTGGACACAAATTAAATGAAATCGAGAATAAAAAAGAGCTTTTGATGAACAAACTCTTTTGTTAGTAAATGAATGACTTCAGAGACCTTACAAGCTTGTGAGGATTCAACATCATTAGTGTATTTGGACAAGGCTCTTGCGTTCCTGAGTTAGAGACTGTCAAGATTTTTAATGAGTTGCTATCAGAGGGTTTCCCAATTATATGTTTGTTTGATTGATTGAATTATTGATTTGTATACTTCCCATCTGGCTATCAAGGCCACTCAGGGTGGTTCACAACAAAAACAGTACAATAATCAGCCACAGTAAATTCAAATATAATAACATCAAAATAATATTAAAAAATAAACATACACAATATAGACTTAGAAACAATATAGACTTACAAATACAACACAGAAACAATTACATCTAATAAAAGCAACCAGGATGGCAGGATCACTAACTTAGGGGCTGGAAAGTACTCTGCATTCTGTTGACGGAATATTCTCGAAGGCCTGTCTAAATAGCCAGGTTTTCAACAATCTCTTAAGGGTAGCCAGTGAAGGGGTTAGGAAACTATCAACCTATTTCTGTTCCTACTGTTATTTAATTCTCCTGCTGACACTGTGCTGTGCATCATCTGTACTGACCACTGTTATAGTTTTTTGTGAGTGCTACCTCTGCTCTCTCTTGTCCAGCTGCTATAGGTCTGATGTGAATTTTATATGATTTGACTGTGAGGAAAGCAGGGTAGACCCCCAAGTGAGGATGCCAGAGATATAGAAACCAAAGCATCAAAGATACCATCATACGTTGAGGAGAACATGGCCAACAGATGGCAAATATACCTTTCAAAGCCCTATTTGAAGATGGGCTGTAAACCACATTTGGCCCAAAGATACTAGGACAGCACTTGCTGCCTAAAATCTCTCAATATGCTGATTTATTCAACTCTACATGCAGACACATCTTGCTTGACCGCTTAAAGCAAAAGCCTTCTTTGAAATGGTGCTTGGCCAAAGAGTTCCCAGGAATCAAGAAAGGGCCAAAAAAGGTATTTAAAGACTGCAGCCAGAGAACAAAGGTTAGTCTCCTTGGGCCTTCCAGGTGATTGGGAGGAATGTAACCACCAGAGAACGGCAAATCCACATACTACATGAATAGACCACCTGGCTTAGCCAAGCCATGGCAGATAGAAACTTTAGTTACATCAGGGTTAGATGTTTATAGATTGTAGAAACGTTAGTTATATCAGGGTTAGATGTTTATAGATTGTTTTTACTAAGCTGTACCTTGGCTAAGAAACGGGGAAACAAATGGTATTGTTCTTACTGTTTAGTTTCTTAGACAATGCCTTTTCTGTTTGGTCAATGTATTTTGGCCTTGTTTCTAATAAAAAATGAGTTCCCTTTTTGAACTGTCCACTGTGGCGTGGAAGGCAGAGTGCTCCTGATTAAATCTGAGTCCAAGTGTCTTACCGTTCTCGGTCAAAATGACCTGAGATATTTTTAGTCTTTTAGTCCTTTTATAGAAAGAGGGGTGGTGGTGGCAGAACTATCCAAAGTTTCAGAAAGAAAGGAGCCTGGGGCTGTAGAAGACGGGCACTGGGCTTTGCCTAGCAAAGACCCTCAAGTCCCAAGCCCCTTCCCAGGACATTGACAAGGGTTTGTTTCCCCCTTTTCTGTGGGCTGCTCCGTGAACTTTTCAGTAAGAAAAAAGCACACAAAGATTTTGCACAGTGAATATAAATACTGTGTTGGATTCAAATAGATCTTGTATGTCTAGAATAGCCTTTGAAAGGTGTACTCCTTTAATCCTGCAGCCTTCATCCTCTGCTACAGTTCCCCCCCCCCCAATTGCCTGGGCTGTTCTGGAGGTGAGAAACATCTACTGTGCAAGGGAAACTCTGCTTTGCACTGCTCTGGATCCAATAACTGACTGATGTCAGTATTGAAGTTACATTTACAAAGTCAGAAGAATTATAAGCCAAAATCCTCTTGTGTAGCAAATGGCGTAACGTTTAGAGGCGAACTGTCTCAAGTTAAGAAATCACTGCAGACAGGGTCCATTAAATGCTGAGTCACACCGTAGGCCACAGGGAATGTCTTTGGCAATGTCTTTATTTGAGGCAATTCACCTTCAAACATGGTGTCAGTTGTGCTATGCCAGCATAACTAGGCAAGAGGATTTTGGCCACATTTTTAGTAACAGTCATAAATCAAGCGAACTTGCTGCATTTATCAGGCTTGCTCTTTACTCATTTGCTTTATGGATTTCACATTTATTATGTAGTGTAGGTGCCTTTCAATGTTCTCTCTAATTTTCTGCCAGTGCTGGGGGGGGGCTGCCCCACATGCATGGGGTTCCGGCCACAACCGGAACGAAATGGATGGCAACACTGGCTGCGGCTGTGCAGCACCGACGCAACACTGCACAGCCATGCACCCACACAGCTTAGAGGGAACATTGGTGCCTTTGTATCTAACTGATCCAGTGTAAAAAATAAAAATAAATAATATCACTTGAAAAGAGATGCTTTTTAATTTTTTTAAAATACTGTCTTTCCACTATAAGAACATTTAATACTATGACAGCCTTCTTCCTCAAAGGGGAATATGCACAAATATACGCTGTAAATGATGTTATCCAAATAATAAAAGGAAAAATTCTTACTTTTCACGTGGAGCGACTTTCTGCCATTCAAATTTATATTCAGTTTCTCCTTCTTGCTAAAAAGCAGCAAATACAAAAGTAAGTTGTAAAATAATCCAGCTTGAAATGTATGCCTAATAAATATAAATAAAATACAATATAATTTCAGAATTACCTCTTTGGCCTCTTCTTTAACAATCAGTATAGAATGGGGGGGGGGAGAAAAAATAATACACTGAATAAGATATACTGTAGATACCATCATTTGATACAGCACACATTGTAAAAAAATATTTTACAGTTCTTGTATCACTTTACATTGAATAAATACTTATTCAAATTATACACTTATACACCTTATTCAAAGTAGATTATTTGTAATAATGAAAAACATAAGATTCAATTTCTAAACCCATACATAAGAGAGCTGTGCTATATGTTACATATTCTTCATGAAGTCTCACTGTTGTTAACAGGACTTTCTTTTGAGTAAACCTGCACAATACTTGGAATATAACTGTGTTCTTACAGTACTGAAAGACTTGGATATAAAACAGATGCAAAAATGTTCATCTAATGGCTAGTTTTATAAGCCACTGTGTTTCAGGAAAAGACATGCCACATTTTTCCTTTCAGCTCAGAAGTGCTCCACAAACCTGCACCTTGAAGCTGTGTTTGACCCTAGCCATTATGCAACTCTGACAGGACATTAGTTCTGCCAGCTTCTTGCACCGAAGGCTACAGACCTTTTGCCAGATATGAACTATGAAAGGTAGCTCACATGGATCCTGTCCCAAAGTAAGGGGCGTGAGTCTTTGATCCCATTAATTGTAAGAGAATCTAGGGGATGGGCTGCTCAGTAGCACATCTCAAGTCTGTTTTGATTCCTAGAAGCAATCAAATGACTTCACAACTTCTTCGGCACATTTATAAGGAACACATCAGATCAAGTACAAGCAATAGCACTTCATAAATCTCTATGGATAAAGCTCTTATACAGAATATCCAGAAATAGCTGCATGATGCATTTTGTAAGAGGTTACCCAAGAATTCCTTATTATTTAATATTATAAAGAAAACAGAAAGCTGCCACGTACCAGGCTGGATTGCTGATCATCCAGCTCAGATGGCTGAATGGCTGCTTTCAAACAAGGATCTTTTCTAGGCCTTCCCTGAACATGCTACAGACTGAACACTGGACTTCTTACAAACATGCACAGAATACGCTCTGCCACTGAGCTACAGGTTTTCCTTCTATATTTTCTGGCATTTTATAAATACAGTGGTGCCCCGCTAGACGCTTACCCCGCATGACGTCAAAATCGCTTAATGATGACTTTTACGATGGCGATCGCTATTGCGATCACAAAACGATGGTTCCAATGTGGGAAATCCGTATTACATTGATTAGGAGCCTGCTTCGCGAACCGTTTGTTCGCTATTTTTCCGGAGCCTGCTTCGCGAACCGTTTGTTCGTTATACGACGATTTTTCCAGTTCCGCCAAATGGCTTCCCTCCCTTTGCAAAATGACTGCTTTCCGGACCCCTGCTTCGGAAGACAGTGATTTCTAACCATTGATTGGCGGTCCTCTATGGGCAATCTTTGCTGGACAATGAGGTATTTCCCCATTGGAACGCATTGACCGGTTTTCAATGCATTCCAATGGCGGTTTTTTCCCCGCTTGACAATGATTTCGCTGAACAGCAATTTTCCTGGAACAGATTATCATGTCAAGCAGAGTACCACTGTAGTTGTAATTCTTCAATCACATTTAACAGCCAATATTAATAAAGATGCCTGCTTCAAGTTAATACGAATGTTTCCTGGACTGAGAAGAATCAGTTAACATCCTGTTCCATACCTCTGCTGGTGCAATGAGAGTAAAGTCAGCAACAGCAGATTGCCACTAGTTAAAGAGTCCCTGCATTGATTTGGGGCTGCATGCAGCTCATGTGAAATGAGACGAAGCTGTACATAACCTAAAATTGAAACGGGAACTCTTTAACTGGTAGCAATCTGCCCCTGCTGGTGAATTCACTCTTGCTGCACCAGCAAACTATGGAATAAAATACCGGCCAGTGTCTGTTTGGATGATTTGCTGGAATTAAAACAAAATGTTCCCAATAATATAAAAACCACTAATATTATATTTACAATATAAGTATCAATAAATAACAAATACTGTACACTATTAAGGAATAAAAATTACCTTTCTTGGCTCCAGGTGGGGCTTCATACATAAAATTTAGCCCATTCTTCACACGTTCATCGCCCATAAGCAGTCTATGAAAGAGATGATCCAACAAGCACATCTCAAAAGAAAAATAAGGAACATCGACTAATGCTAAAATCATTTTTAAGTAAACATGGCAACCACCCAATAATGATTCTAGAATACGTTACAATTCAGAGTTTAATCTTAGAAGATAAGGTTTAAATCATTCCCAGATGTGCTAGTTGCATTAAAATATTCCAGAGGTAAGTATGTTGCATCACTAAGTTAATGGTTGAGATCCTATTGTATGACTTGGTGTGTGCAACAGGAATGATGTCAGCAGCAGCAAATCACTACTGATTAAAGGTGATTGGGGAGTGTGTCTGTGATTCGTATACAATGCGAAAAAGTCATGTGCTACCCCAAATCCTCAAAGCAGGTCTTTAATCACAGTGATTTGCCACTGCGGATGACATCATCACTGTGACATGGTTGAGATCCTATTGTATGACTTGGTGTGTGCAACAGGAATGATGTCAGCAGCAGCAAATCACTACTGATTAAAGGTGATTGGGGAGTGTGTCTGTGATTCGTATACAATGCGAAAAAGTCATGTGTTACCCCAAATCCTCAAAGCAGGTCTTTAATCACAGTGATTTGCCACTGCTGATGACATCATCACTGTGATACACCTCTACAACAGGATTTCAGCCACTGACTCATTAAGATATTTTATCTTGAGTAGCTTACCAATAGAAGCTGCTGGCTGACAAACGAATAAAACTTCATATTCTGAATGCAAAGCACAAAGCAATGGAATGGTCTAGTCAAAATAAATTATGAAAAACTACTAATACCTTCACAATTTCAGTTTGTATTTTACTGGATTTATATGGTAGCTTTCTCCCTATACACAACCCAAAGCAGCTCAGAATCAATTAAAACAAAGTACTAACAAAGCTAAAAATACAGTAAGGCATATTAAAAATAACTAAACAAACAGGAATATTAAAACCCACAATTTAAAACCACTTATGAACACACCCACTCAATCCAATATCAGATTCGTTAATATCAACTAAAAGCCTGTCTAAAAATGAAGGTCTCTGTCTACCAGGAGCAAGACAAGAGGGAAGTGGCTAAGCTGACTTACCAGTGCAGTGTTTCCAGCAGTTTAGGAACAGGCCCTGAAAAATTATTTGGTATTTGGGAATATTTCGACAGTCTGGAATCATACATATGATCTGTAAACATTCTCTAAGAAGACAGAGCTATTTAGAAGGCACCAGACCAGTTTTGATCACATGAAGTTCTGTCCAGACTGGATTCCTGTTTTCACAGATCACAACAGACAGTGCCTATAAATCTGCCAATTTTAATTTTTAGCTGACAAAAATTTGGCAAGTTTCTTTTTGTTACTTTGAAAGAATTTAGCATTCAGTAGCACTTTAAAAATGGGCTTCAATCTTTTATCTATTTATTAGGTCACGGACAAAATTCCCATCTTTTTCCATTGAAGAAAACAGTATACAACAGGGAGATCTTTAGCTCCTCTGATGTTGGATTTATGGTTGAAACCTCTGACATGTTTAACCAGGCAGACGATTAAGCTTGAGATTTATACACAAACAGGAAGAATGTAAGGCAGTTACCTGTTCTGATGACCTGTCATTTATCAACCAACTTTAATTTTCTATGCTAGAGTTAATGATATTATTTAACAATTGGGGGGGCTTCTAATTACACAATTAACTGTTTCAAATTAGAGGCTCTAATCGTTGGGAGTGCTTACTTCAGTCAGATTATTTGCCAACTGCTAACCTCATTTTTGTCCTGAAACTATTATATAGGTAGACTAGTTCCTCAGGATATCACTGAAAGGATTCAACTGAATGTAACTGCATTACTGCTAAAATGTCTCCTGATCTGGAAATATAGGTATCAGTTAACTTAAGTATTTGGGACTAAAATTGATGTACTTAGGAGGACATTAACCTGTTACCATTGACAAATGTACGTTTTTCTTGCAATTCCAATTTCTGTTCCTCAAACCTATTCACAGAAAATTAACATTTTATTTAAGAAACTCGTAAGGGGGCCTGTACTACTGTTCTTCAAGTAAGAAGATAAAAATGTTACTTTCCAAAGGCTGATTCAAATTTTCAGATATGAGTTGCTATCACAAAACATACTGCTTGGCTTGTCCCAACAGCTGATAAGTGTTGTTTGATACAAATACCCCTGGTTGGCTGACCCTGAACTGATTTCAGGGAGCTGCCTGGAAATACTGCAGCTGGAGTAGCCTGCTGTATAAGCATACTGTATTAATTACACATGGGGCAGTCTTGTTTTGAAAACTGTAAAAGATGTTTTGTGTGTGTGTGTGTAAGAACTGGGGTGATCATGGAATTCAAATTACAGTAATTGATAAGACTAGATCAAGAATGTTTGCCTTTTCCAACATTTGATCTTGTTATCATTTATCTTTTGGCAAGCTGTAGCCATATCTACAATTAGAGTGTTCTTTGGTTTCCATGTGTGCTCTATGCTATCAAGTCAGAACAGATCTATAGCAACCCTAATCGGGCTTTCAAGGTAACTGAGATATTTAAGGAGTGGTTTTTACCAGTTCCACTCCCCCAATGAGTTTACGTGACTGAGTGGGGATTTGAACCCTGGTCCCAAGAGTTCCTAGTCCATAACTCTATAGGCTAAACCACAGAAATTATCATTTTTAAGTGGTGGAACACAAGCATAATCTGCACTATAGAGATGTAAAATGTGACCTGGTTCATCCACACGGGCTATATGAGAAAGCATGTCTGCATACATACATGCACCTGCACAAAATCACCCTATAGTGAGAAGTTTTTTTATTAGTCTTGGACAAAATCTGTGTATTTATGAGACTGATATTTTTGGCAAGTAAAAGTATAATAACTGCTGCCTTGTTTTTGCATGGACTATTAAAAGAACCATCAGATGAGGTGTTTGACAGCTAATGGAGCAATGTCTGCCTTTTATGCTTACGCTGTATCTAATTAACTCCAGACATTAAAAGAGGCCCCCCGAGACATTTGGTGCAAATGATGACCAAAAGGACAAAACCAAACCAAACCAAACGCCTAGTGTCTAATTCTCATCTTAGAGGCAAGGACTTTAAGGCAGAATCTTTGACAGGCTGTCTTAACTATAAACAAGAGAAACTTAGACCACCATCCATCTGATCTGCTTTGATTTGGATTCCTGCATTGAGTAGGGAGTTGGACTTGATGACCTGACAGGTCCCTTCCAACTTCACTATTCTATGATTCTATGAGATATTTTTACAGTCCTACTGCACCTTCAAGGAAACTGAACCTAGCAACTACAAATTACAGTGGTGCCTCGCATAACGATGTTAATTGGTTCCGAAAAAAAAAACCCGTTATGTGAAAACATTGTTATGTGAAGCACCATTTTCCATAGGAATGCATTGAAAACCGGTTAATCCGTTCCAATTGGAACAGATTATCCGGTTTTTCCCCTCCCCCCGCGGCTTGGATCCGACCCACGGCGGCT